GGAGAGGCCAAGGGAATTGGGCTGATTGAGTCTGCAGAAGGGAAGACCGAGGGGGATTGAACAGCAGCCTTCACCTCCCTGCAGGGGGGCTGCAAAGAGGACGGAGCTGGGCTGGGCTCAGTGGGGGCAGATGACAGAAGGAGCAATGAGCTCAAGCTGCAGCAAGGGAAGTGGAGGTTGGATATTAGGAAAAACTAATCACAAGAAGAATAGTAAAACACTGGGACAGCTTACCCAGAGAGGAGGTGGACTCTCCATCTTTGGAAGTTTAAAACCTGGCTAGACAAAGCTTTGGCTGGGAGGATGGAGTTGGGGCTGGTCCTGCTTGGAGCAGGGTGTTGGATTAGATGCAACTTCCTGAGGTCCCATCCAATCCTCATTTTGTACGATTCCCCTTATTAGCCTCCATTTCCACCTGGCAAGGGAGTGCGGGTGGCCTCTGACCTGCAGCATGCAGTCCCTTGTAGCAGGTCTCATTGCACATGCCAGACGCACGTTTAGGGAGCAGCTTGTCCTGTTCCCTGGTTGGACCAACCCCAGCATCTGGGGCTGGGCTCAGCTCATGCATAGATCCGCGTGTCTGTGACCAGGGCTCCCAGCTTGGCAGTGCTCAGGAACCATGCACAGCATCTGCAGCACCGCACCCCCAGCCCTTTAGTGGCCGTGTCCTCCCTGTGCAGTCGCAGCCTGTGATCTTAGTGCTGCAGCCATGGGAGAGGCCTCCCCAGGCATTGCCATGCCCAGAACTTCTCGTGCCTTTGGGTCAGGGCTGGGAGCCGGCTGGCAGCAGCAGCAGCTGGAAGGGTTTCCCCCCCGCTCTTTCCTTGCCATGTCTGAGCATGAGCTGCCCTGCCCAGAGCACCCCACAGTCCTGCCCAGGGTAGCGTCTCTCCAGGACCTGCTCAAGTGGGAGGGCAGTTCCTGCAGCAGCAGCAGCAGCAGCAGCATCTACCCCAAATACAGGATCCCAACAGCACTCCCTGCTCCTTCCCAGGTGCAATGCGCCAGCACCATCCCCCCTTCCCGGCATCAGACCAGCACCTCCCAGCTGCATGAGGCTGTCAGTCCAGCCCCACTCACCCTCCCCAGCCCCCTCCAGGATGCTGGATCTCAGCCCCAGGCCCTCACCGGGGTGAGCTTGAGGTCCTGCAGCGCGTGGTCCATGAAGTGGTACTCGGAGCGGTCCAGCTGCACCAGCGCCTCCTTCAGCTCCAGCACACGGCCCAGGGCCCCGTCCAGCACCCGGCGCAGCATGCGGCGCTTCTGCGGCTGCAGCATCTGGTCGTGGCAGGTCTCCAGGCACCGCACGACCTGCACGTAGCGCAGGAACAGGGTGGCCAGCCCGTGGGAGAACGCGGCCCGGTCTCGCTCGGGCTGCGGCGGTGCGGCCGGCAGTTCCTGGGCCAGCAGCTCCTTCAGGGCCACCTGCGACTCCAGCCACATCTTCCCATAGGTGCTGCAGGGACCGGCGGCAGCTCGTCAGCACGGGGAGGGAGGTGGGTGCAGAGACACCCGGGACATGGGCCCGATGGCTCCGGCAGTCGCAGCCGGAGGGGTCGGGACTGGTATCCTCCATGCTGCGGAGCAGAGCTCGCTGATCACAGCTGGGGCCAACGCCCGTGCGCAGGTTCAGCCCTGCAGGATGCTGCAAGCACCTGGCCCTGGGGATAGAGGCGGCCCTGGGGGTACCTTGCAGGCACCCAGCTCCCACATCGCTCCTAGGCTCCCCCACCCCAAAGACAGAGGAGGAGGGTGCAGGATGCTGCAGCCCCTCTGCCCAGGGCCACCCCAGCGCACCGCCATGTCTGCGGGTCCCTTGCCCACCCCACCGCAAACGGGCAGGGCATCTGGGCTCCCACCTCAGCTGCCCCCCAGGTGTGGGCACAGGAGCCAGCCCACCCCCAATGCAAGCCCAGGCTGGGCTCCACCTGCTCTGCTCCCATGGGCAGACCCTTGCCTGTGCCAGCCGGGACCCCGCACCCGAGCCCAGACCAAGTCCCAGCCAGCTGCAGCCGTGGCCATAGCGGTGGCCAGACCAGGCTGGGCCAGAACAGCACGGGGCCAGGGCTCCTGCAATCGGGTCCCCGAGCACATGGAAGGGAGCAGCCGCCCCACAAATGCCTGCCCCCCTCAGCCACAGCATCTTGCACATGCCCCACCACCAGTGCCCTGCCCCCAGCCCCAGGATGCCCGTGGGACCCTCCCCTCCTTGTGTCCCAACAGCCCCAGCTCCATCCTCAGTCCCACCGGTTGGACATGGCTCCTGCCGCCCCAGGTGCCGTCCCATCACCAGGGGAAACACCCCGGAGCCCATTCCCATGGAGACCAAGGACCACACAATGCATCCCTGTGACATCAAGGCCCCTGGCGGGGGGCAACCCAGTGAGGTCACAGGTGTCCCCAGAGGACGCAGCCCCTGCCCCCCCCCCCGACAGGACACAGCGGTACGGGGGCAGCGGTGCCTTTTATTGGGGTGCAGTGGTCACTTGCTGCTGGTGTACTTAGTGACGGCCTTGGTGCCCTCGGAGACGGCGTGCTTGGCCAGCTCGCCGGGCAGCAGCAGGCGCACGGCCGTCTGCACCTCACGGCTGGTGATGGTGGTGCGCTTGTTGTACTGCGCCAGGCGCGCCGCCTCGCTGGCAATGCGCTCGAACACGTCGTTCACGAAGGAGTTCATGATGCTCATGGCCTTCGAGGAGATCCCCGTGTCTGGGTGCACCTGCCAGGCAGGGGGCAAGAGGCGTGAGGGAGCCTGCTCCACTCCCAGCCCCAGCCTTGCCCTCCTTGCTGCTCCCCTGCCCAGAGGCGAGGCCGGGGCAGCATCTAGACTCACAGCAGGGCTCGGTCCTTGCCCCTAGCATGACCTGGGTCCCCAGCAACGCATAGCCCCATCCCCCTGCAGCGAGGGGTGTGGGTGAGCTGGGCCCAGCCTGTGCCCTGGGCACTGGCCAGGTGCTGCCCCTTTGCTTGGGGGTGCAGCAGGCAGAGGTGCCAGGGTTGCAGAGGGCAGCTGCCCCTGCCCAGGGGCTAAGCAGCATCACTGCATGCCCCACATGCCTGCAAGCGCAGCGTCAGGGCCCTGCACCTGTGGCCCAGCCTCCAGGTACTGCGTGGTGCAGGGAGGGTGAAGGGACAGGAGCAGCCTCCATCTCAGGGCTGGACCCCACCCAGGGGCTTAGCCCTTGCTCAGGGCCGGGACCCAGAGGCTTGGGGTCAGCAAGCCAGCCCATTCCTTGGCCTCGGAGCATTGCTGGGTGCAGCCCAGGCCGCCTGCCCACCACAGGTCCAAGCAATGGGCTGGCAGGGGTGGGAACAAGCTGCAGGACAGGGCAGCCAGCTCCCCACAGCCCCCCGTGTTGTGCTCCTGACCCCAAGGGGACTTCTGCAGCCCCATCCCCAGCTCTTACAGCCCGTGCCCCCGACCCCCAGGGACACAAGTGGAGCAGCAAGGGGGTTGCAGCCCCAGCAGCCAGGAGCTCACCTGCTTCAGCACCTTGTAGATGTAAACCGAGTAGGTCTCCTTCCTCTTCAGCTTCCGCTTGGCTTTCTTGTCCCCGGAGGCCGTGGGGCGGCCCCGCTTCTTCCCAGCCTCCAAGCTCATCCTCGCCCCTGGCTCTCTGAGCTGGATGAAGCAGGAGCCCCAGGCAGGCAGGGCCGCACCTGCCGGCGGTTATGTAGCCAGGGCAGCGCCGGCCACAGGTGAGCGCGCTGAGCCAGGGCAGGCCCAGGTGCAGCTCCTACCCCTGATTCCTGGCTCAGCAAGGCCAGAGCTGGGGAATGGGCGCAGCCTGTGACAGGGCCAGGGCCCAAGGGGCGGGTGCCTGCTCCCTGCTCTGCGGGGAGGTGGCGAAGCACAAGGGAGGCACCAGGGATGTTTGTGGGACTGGGACGCTGGAGGAGCATGTCCCGTGTCGCAGCCCCACAACATGGAGGGGTGCAAACCGCACCGTGCTGCAGCCTCCCCGCTCCATAGCAGGGACCAGGGGCTGGGGCTCACAGCCCTCGTGGCACACGAGCCAGCTCTGGGGGTCCTACCCACTGTGGATGGGCTGGGGGGGGATGTGCTTCTGGCCCCTCTCCTGGGCATGGCCCCAGGCCCTGGCTCCCTAGGGACATGAGCATGTGCCACATGCACCAGCCCCAAGCCGGGCAAGCCTGGCTCTGCCCCGTCCCTACTCAGAGCGGTGCAAGGTGTGTTGGTGCCCGTGCTCAGCTGCGCGTCTGGTGCAGGGTGCTGCCTCATTTCCTTTGGCTGGCAGGAGCACGTGTGCACGCGTGTCTCTGGAGCATTGAACAGGGGTGATCTGTGCCAGTGGCCTGTGCTGCAGGGCAGAGTTTGGCCCCGGCTGGACACACGTACCCTCAGCTCCTCCTGACAGGACGCTGAGTCTCCCCAGAGCCGCAGGGGAGCAGGGGCTGGTCACGGCTTTGGTGCTCTGCGTCACGTCAGGGTCGAGGCCGCAACTGAACTCCGCTGCAAGCGTAACCTCATTAACGCCCCCCCGGCACATGCTGCTTTCCTCCCTGCGGCGTCACTAGCCTGGCCACAAGCCTCGTCCCCGAGACCGGCTCTGCTCGCGCTCCCTGGCCAGGAGCCGTTGTGATGCTCGGGGCCCCGTGCTCTCCCCTTGCTTCTAGCTGAACCCGGGCCTGCGGGAGATGCCCCTGGCTCCCTTCAGAGCGTGCAAGCAACTGTGCGACAGGGTGACGGGAGTCCCTCGGTGGGCTGCTCCGGTGGCAAGATACCCCAGATGCGAGGGTGGGACTGCAGGCATCGCCCTCACCCCTCCCATGCCACGTGCGGTCCGAGGAGCTGCTGCCAGAGCTGGACACAGGGGTCAGCCACAGGGACATTGCGTAGACTGTTGCATTGCTCTGCTGCTGCATCCAGATTGCGATGGCCCTTGGTCCAGCTCGGGGCCACTGGTTTCTGCTAGGAAGCCCTGTGGCCCCCACCCCACCCCTTTTGGACTAGGTTATAGTCACCTCCCCACAGGACTTGGGACCAGCTTCTTCCTGGGTGCCTACCCCTGCCAGCCAACTGCACTGTGGCATGTTTCTCACACGTGGTGCACACACCATACAGCAGACTGGATTTATCACCCCCATAGGGCTGTGCCCACAGTGCATTTTGCCAGCAGGGATGGCTCTGGGCTCTGGGTCAGGGCATGGGCCCAAGTAGAAACCTATGGGCGCCTGCTCCACTGGGCAGCAAAACCCCACGAGCAGGTAATGCCACTTAACTTAGTTCCAAGCAAGCTGCTGACTGTACCATAGCTTCATAGTTGGTCAGGTCAGAAGGGACCAGAGCAGATCGAGTCCGACCCCTGCCATGGCAGGAAAGAGTACTGGGGTCAAACGACCCCAGCAAGGCGATTGTCTAGCCTTGTCTTAAAGACCCCCCGTAGGAGTGAGGTCCTGGACTAGTCTGGATACATGCCAGCTGCCTCTGGGGCAGCTCTTTTATGGTTATGGAGTTTCCTGCCTTGCTCCCTGTGCTACTGCTCAGGAGTAGCTGCCTCCCAAGAGGGCATGGCAAAGGTCTCACTCCCTTTGAACAAGCACGTTCTCCCCGCTGCAAGAAGGAACATCCCGCAACAGGCAGGTGCCCATTTGGAAGTCCAGGGGCCAGGAGCACCAGGTCCACCCTAAACCCTGCTAGAAAGTGAGACCAAGGAGATCCTGGACAAGCTAATGCCACAGGGAAGAACTGCCCGGCTTTGGGTCTCAACATGCTGAAAGATGGGCACCTGGGGCTGGGCCCAAGGAGGTGGGGGCACAGGATGGTGTCACACAGGAGCAGGGCTGGAGCTAGCTTCCATTTCACATCCATGCTTTATTTCACCACCTTCCTGCAGCCAAGGCTCCCCTCCTTCCCCACCTCCCATGGTCCCTGTGCTGCACATGCAACTAGAGTGAGGCAGCTGCAGGGCCACCCAGAGATACCGACAGCTCCTGCGCCTCTAGCGCTGCTCAGGTCTGTGTCCCTGTAGCTCAGTGCCTGCCCAGACCCCTTCACCACCCAGCTTGTCACTCGCTGCTTGTGGGTGGCGGAGCCTGGCAGTGCTGCAGCTCTAGGAGGGGGTGCCCAGCCACACACACTGAAGCCATATGCTTTGCTCAGCCAAGGGGCAGCACGAAGCTGCACACGCCTACAGCTGGTGCCATTCTGGGAACGAGGAAAAAGAGACTGTTCTTCCCTCTTTATTGACTGATAGATTCTCAGCAGATCTGATAATGACACTGTTAAATAATAGTTAAAACCAAACCAAGGCCAGAGGAGTCTGAAGTCAAAGTTTCTAAACTGAAGCAGAAGTTAGGGCAGGAGGTGAGCTGGGATCTCCATTTCCCCCTGGCTGCAATCGGGGCACCCTGCCGCCTGCTGTCAGTGGCTCCAGGATCTGGGGCTAGAGGGGACATGGTCCAGATGGGAGCAGTTGCCCGAGTGCAGCCAGAGCAGAAGAGGAGGGTCTGTCCAGATGCGGAGGTGCACGGAGAGCAGAGGGAAGCAATATTGCAGCAATGCTAGAACACAGCCACAAAGATAGCAGCAGAGTCCGATTCCAGGCGGCAGGGGGATGGTCAGGCTGGCCATTGTCAGTCTCCCTGGAGAACACCTGCCGGCCGACTGACCGCTCCTGCGCTCACACATTGTGGGTCTTTTTGGTGAGCTGGGGATCTTCATCCACCAGCTTGGACTTGAGATGTTCCTTGTAGGCCAGGATGTCGCCCTGCCACTTCGTGATTGTCTGCTTCTCACAGACCCAGATCTCCTGGGCAACCTGAAAGCACAAGGCAGGGCTCAGTGCAGCTCAGCTCAGAAGCAGGCACACAGGGTTCTTCCCCACACCCCCACCCCCAGCCCCGGCTCCCTCGTCTCCCAGAGGCGGCACGGTTTGCTGCCACCAGCCGTTCACTGACAGCGCAGAGCGTTCCCGGAAGCGAGGGTCGGCCAGGGTGCTTGGGGCAGTCCTTCCTCACCGCCACTTCTGTGGGGAACCGGAACCGTTAGGATCACCTGCTCTGCATGGGCAGGGCAGAATGGTTTATAGTGACCTCAAGCAGCAGGTGGGAAGCCTGGACTTGAACTCATTTTCCTAAAAGAAAGGCTGGCTCCCATTGGCTGAGAACCAGGAAACCATGTTGCAGATACAGTAAGTGCCAAATTTAACATGAAAGTTGTTTCCACATACAGTCACGCAGCACAGCATTAAGACGGTAAATGGGGCACTTGACTAGACCCATTCACTTCTACTTGGGTTCTGGGCCAAATGATTTGGCTGGAAATTGGAATTCAACTGAATGCCCCAAATCTGCAGGTTGCAAACTTAGATAACGCTGCTTCAGACACGGGGGACACAGGGAAAACTCTTTCCCAGGGTTTGTATTTGAAACATCCTTTAAGGCATGAGAACCAGAAAGTCCCATCCTTTAGGCCGATCTTTCAGTTACAAGCTGGAAAGGGAAGTCAAGCTTTCCTGACAATGCGGAGCCCCACTGGCTTCTCAACTGGGAAATGAGAAAGGTGCTGAAACAAATTAGCAGAGTAATCAGAGACAGAGGAAATATCTGCTCTGCACCTCCAGAAGGGGCTACTGCTATTAAAGCATGTCTATTGCCTCAGCGAGTACATCCCACTTCGGTTAGGTACGGCTGCCAGAATCTGCCGTAAAGGAGTCGTTTCACTGGAGAGTCACTGAATAGTCCCCCCCTCTAGCAGAGACCAGAGATGCCTGTGCACAGCTCATCACTGCTGGCCTCCTTGACAGAGGATTGCTGGACACCCCCACCCATGGAGCTCATCACCTCCCCTGCCCTCACCTGCTGAATGAGCCTGAAGTCATGGCTAACGAGCATCATCCCTCCCTCAAACTCATTGATGGCGTCGGCCAGCGCGTCGATGGTCTCAATGTCCAGGTGGTTGGTGGGCTCGTCCAGGAAGAGCATGTGCGGGTTCTGCCAGGCCAGCCAGGCGAAGCAGACACGGCACTTCTGTCCATCTGAGAGGTTGCGGATGGGGCTCACCTGCCGGGGGTGGACAGACAACACGGTCAGAACACACCATGGCATGTGGGGCCTGCGACTCCCAGGGAAGCCCGTCCTGTGCAGGCCCCATGCCTGGAACAGCCCCCCTCCCCCCACACCTCAGCAGAGGGCCCTGGATTTCTGTGGCACTCCCAGACCAAGCCTGCGCTGCAGGTGCCACAGGGCACAGAACTCACTGGAGTCAGCAAACATACACCGCCTCCCACTCAGCCCCAAATCTGCCCCAGGTCCAGGGCAAAAGATGTTTCTCCTGACACAGGAAGCTCGCCTGAAACCTCTGAGCCTAAACTGCAATACCCAGCACAAAAGCCATGTGGCCAGAAATGGGAGCAGTGACGGCCCCTACAGCTTTGGTGCATGGGAGCTGAAGTTGCTACACTGCTGCCCCCTCAAGATGAACCAGGTGACTCACGCTCCCACCTGAGCTACTGGTCCCATCTCTGACCAGTGTGGCACCATGCCAAGACCTGGCCCCACTCTGCCTATGCCCCACAGCATCTTCCACCTTGCCCAAACCTCCCCACTGCCTCTCAGAGCCTGGCTGCAATACACAACAAACTTAAGTGACCCTACCTGTACTAAGGTATGCACT